CCCCCGGTCCGTTTGAGCTCGTGCGCAAACCGACGCGCACGTTTTTTGCGAATGAGCTCGTGACTCGCGCAAAGAGGTGGAGAGGGAGAGAGGTGGAGGGAGGGTCTAGTTCTCTTTTCGGGAAGGCGAGTAAGATATGTTGCCCAGAGAGGAAAGGCGCTGGTGGCGGAGGAGGAGTAGCGAGTTTGTTCGATTCCGGCGAACGGTTCCCGCTGCTCCGCGCTGCTCGCGCGCAATGTCTTGATTTGGTCCTGCACGTGTGCGGCCGTGTGAGCGCGTGCACGTGCGACCCGGGGGAGAAAAGCACTGGCGGATATAATTATTATCGTCATGCTGGTTGTTATCCGGCCGGCGAAATTTGAAACGAATCCTCCCCGCAGATTTATCTGCACAGCAGCGGCGGCCTGCGGCCCGGCGGCCCGCTCCCTTCAAGCCCACTACTCCTCTTCTTGTCAGCGGGCCGCGCCTTCTTCGAGGGGCTTATCCGGTATCAGAAATACCCTGTGAGTTGGTGTTGGTGAGCGCAGGTCATATGCTCCTCCCCCCCATCGGGAGGATTCACAGTCGATTTATAATGGTCAGGCTTTTATGGCGTAGTAAACAGCATCAAACAACAAGAAAAAAATCAATCGTTTGCGGCTTCCTGACTGGTAAGTCGTACATGGGAACGCAGCTGTATGGTTGGGCAGGGACCAAAGGGTGTCTGAGGATCAAATGTGTATTCCTTGCACGTGTGCGGCACATTTATTTCTGGAGTGCACCGCGTGATTTGTGGATTTGCCCGTGTGTCGCCTCGAAAGTCATAGCAGAGCGTGCCGATAGGCAACCCACCCTCACGTCCGAATGCGGTACAGTATGGCCACAACAAAGCTCGGGGTCTATGGGGCACCTTGTTCCTATCTAGCTTTGAAGAGTTCGTAGCGCTAAGGGGTCGGCATTTACGCGTTTACGGTCGTGGTGATCGGCTCTCGTTTCTCACCGGTTTCATAAAAAAAATGTTCTACTCGGAACAAGATCGCCTTGTAGTACAGCAGGTGGCTGGTAGATGCTCCCTTTAGGTACAATTATCTCTCTGCAGTTTCCTCCTCTTCCGGATTAGTGGTGGCGGCGACGGGTATGTAATGTACCGCGCCGTGACCGCGGACTGAGCAAAAGTGAGAGTGTGTAAAATCTAGAAGCGCGCGCGCAAAGTAAAACGCGCGGTATAACGCAAGGGTAATATTATTTTGCCTCGCCGGCGAAAACGTTTTCCAGTGCATATTGTTGCAGTTTT